ATCAAACTCCATCAATGAACAAGAGATACTTGTATCAGAACCTCGAAATCATACCAGTCCAATAGCCCTTTTTTTAAAAAAACAAAAAACAAAAAAACAAAACAAAATGTCACGCAATTCTACTTGCAAAATGGTAACCTGCAATACCGGTAACATTACTCGTGACCTTTTTGGTGCCAGGATCGTACATGTCCGTGCGCCTGGGGCTTTATTTTTTTTTTCTTTCCTTTCTTCTTCTTCTTCTTACTTTGTACCGGTAAGGTACGAGTATTGTTATCACCGTAGCCAGTTTCTTTTCTTTTCCGTCCTTTTCTCTCTTCTCGATTGGGACGGGTCTAGACCTCCCTTCTGCTTCCCTCCCTCCCTTTGTTTTTTTTGTTTTTTTTAAAAAATAAAAAAAAAACCTGCCTGTGTCCATACTGTTACAGTACAGTGCTCGTACAAGTACTTGTACGATAGCCTTCGTCAGGAAGGGGGGGGTGGGGTGGGGGCTTGGAAATGTCAATTAGTCTAGAGTTCCGGAATGTTTACTGTGGGCGATAACTGGTAATTCAGATTTATGATACCGTGTGTCTGGACTTGAAGTTTTTGGCGTGGTGCTGTGCTCTTTTGCGGTTACAGTTGACTTTACTTACTGTACCGGTATGGTGGTGCTGTGATGTGCTGTTCTGTGGTAGAGATGGATCTACCGTAGGGGTATTTTTTTTATTTTTATTTTTTATTTCTCATTTTTTATTTTTATTATTCTTGTTTTCTTATTCTTTTTGCAACGCAGTCTTCCCCCATCGGTACCCGCACTCGGTTCCTGAATGACAGAATGGGTGGATCGGTTTATGGTATGGTATGGGACAGTTTCTGGGCGGTGTCGTGCGACGTGAAAAAGTCGTCATTCTTCCTATTATACATTCATATTATACATACGGTAATCACTGTCGGCTTGTTATGGTGATCTATAAACCCGTGCTCAACCACATACATATACCCCCGTATCGGATGTAAACTTTTTTTTCTTTTTCTCCCCTTTTTACCGCCGAACTGGCCGCCCGCCTGTCAAATAAACTTCCGAGTCCTTTTTTTCTGACTGTACTAGTACTGTACATACGTAGCGTGGTTCGTCCATCCATCCATCATCCATGGCTCGAGCCGAAAGGCACAAAAAATGGTTGAGGTTGGGGTAAAGGTACGAGAACTCGGGGAGAAGTGGCAGGCGTTAGTTGGCAGGGATGTAGATTGTATTTTTAGTAGAAGGGGGAGAAAAAAGAAAAAAAGACACTTGGACCTTACATATCACACAACTCTATCAACAAAAACTCGGCTTGGACTACCGGTGCAGATGTGGCTATATGAAGCAGGCTCCCCAATCACCGGTACGGTGCTGTGGAAAGAAGGGGAAAAAAAAAAGGGAAAACCCCCGGTCAGGTCAGATCAGGTACCTATCATAGCTCGATGCTCCGATGATGCTGATGATGGCTATGATGCGAGTAAGCACTCCGCTCCCTTCCCCTTCCTTCCTTCCCCTCCCTTCCCGCGCGAGGGACGGCGGAAGGGGAACGGATATACAAGTATTGGAGAATCGGAGGGGAGGTTGGGATCTAGGGGAGTTTGACGAATAGGACTGAAGTGAAGTGAAAGAACGTGCACGTATCATATAATGCTAAGACTGGGAAGAGCGGGGGGGGGAGGGGACTGACTACCCTAGACTGACTTAGAACCCAAACACCCGCTGGCAAACTGGTTGCCGCACCACATGTTTAATTCGTTGTGAGGACTCGTTCGTTCGCTAACCTTCCGTACCTGCTCCCCGCTTCCTGCACGGCACCTTGCCTGTACGAGTGCTCTCCAACCCCTCCCTCCTTGACCCCGGAAAAAAACAATTCCTTTCCCTCCATTCCTTCCCCCCACCCGCACCCACACCTAATTTGAACGGGCAAAGAGAAAAAGAGAGAAGGAAAGGGAGAAGGAAAGAAGAGGAAGAAGAAAAGAAAAAAAAGTCCGGACTAGGCAGGTAAGTACCGGTATGGTACGGGTACAGGTACGAGTACAAACCTTCCCGCTCTAACCGTCCTTGTACCCACAGTAACAACCCCTGTCTCTAACTTCATCCCAGATTTGGGACCGCTGTGCTGCACTCAGAGACGTTGTGTTGCATTTCCAATTTTGGAATACGCCTACCGCACTGTATGGAGGGATGGGTGCACAGAAGCATCGAAAGAGGTAGTACGTCCCACCGCAAAAGCAAACGTCCAAGACAAGACAAAACACGAAGAGAAAAAACCCCCGAAAGAAAAAGAAATCAAAAGTGGGAAAAGCAAGTGACAGGCTGCGGTACCGATATTGGACCATGGGTACTTGTAGCTTGAGGAACGCTACCCGTACATGCTGTTGAGAGGGGTACAGTAGGAGGAACAAGCACCAAAGCGCCAGATGCAGTAGTCAGTCGACCCAGATCCACGGGAGCATGCACAATTTCGTGAGATTGATGGGTGTGGTGCGATGCGATGGCGGATCATACTCGACTCGCGTTTACTATCTTAAAAAACTAACCCAACTATTATAACAAACGCAAACAGAAAGTTTGTCGCTGGGCAGGAGGGAAGGAGGAGGCAAGGGTGAGGTAAGAGGTAAGAGGTTAAGTTGGGGTAGGTGAGGCAAGATAAGAAAGGGAAAAGGTATATTGAGCGGGTGCGATACTGACTAGCACTGGAATTGGAGCTCTGTGCATGCAGGTAGGTAAAAATAATACCATTGTCTGCACAGGCTCGCCAGTTTCCGGGGGGTTCCTTCATCATCATTATCACCACCATCATCATACGAGTAGTGGGTGAGTGAGTTGGGAGGAGAGGACACTGCCGCAGTTGTCGTTGTACTAGTACAGTATCACACCCTACAGAATGTCATTTCCACCCCCAGTCTCAATCCGTAGATTACGCTTGATGCGAGCAACCCCGGAGGCAGGGAACTTTTGCGCTAAATGGGATTGTTTAATCGGATTTGGTACAGTCTGGATTTTACCTCTCTCTCTTTTCAAATGTGAGAGAGAGAGAGAGAGAGAGAGAGAGAGAGAGAGCAAAGAGAGAGAGACATGCACATGGTCGATGTTGCTGTTGCAGACAGTGAACCTCCTCAACCCCCCCTGCTGGGGACATTCTTTGGGAGCCTTGGCAATAAAGTCGACCGGTTTGATGACCGGGGGGCCCTCCCTCCCTCCCTCTCTTTCTTTTTTGGTAACAATTTTGTTTCTTTTTTTCCTCCTCTCCCGCATGTTCCTGGTTTGGACCTTGCACCACCATCTCATCACACCCGTTGGCCCTGCCAAGCTTACTCCACGCCGCACGGAAATGCACCTGGGGCTTTTCGCGATTGTTTCGGGTTGGTCTCAAGCTAACCTTCGACTCGCCATCCATTCGGTTTTCCTGTGTTTTGGGTTGCGAAGCGGGCTGTGGGGTGAGTGAGAAGGGGGGGGAGGTGCGAGGGGGATTCTCCGTTCTCGTTTCATGTGGGTATCAGTCGATGCAACCCGAGATGTTCATACTACGAGTACACAGCAGACGATCCCGTGAGACTGTGCTGCTTCCGGAATCTCAAATAATTTCTTTTCTTTTCTTGTCGGGTTCCTTTCCTTTTTTCTCGCCGCTGTCGCGGGGCGGTGTTACGGCAGCTCTTTTGGACGGGGGACTGAGGTCAGTTGGGTGAAGCGTCTGAACGGTTCAGGATGGTGTTTCGTGGAGGATGTCTTGGGTCCCCTCTTCCTATGATACCGTACTCTTGATTCATCTTTTTTATTTCATTTTTCTCCAAATGATTTGTTGTTGTTAGAGTGAGGTAGCCTTACCAGACTGGAACATGTAGGATTGTTTCGATCTGGGCCATTTCCCCGTAAACACTCTTCGCTGTCGTCCCAATAGTTCAATTCCAGGAGATGCATTAGGAGCATCAGGATCCGCATCAACAGAGAAGAGGTCGAGATGTGCGTTGCTACTGCTCCACCACAGGTTGCTCCGACGTTGCGAACCAGCCGTTGTGCTCTAGTGCGATGGGGCGGGACCCGCGACGCTATATCGTGTGTGGCTGCTTTTGTCGGAACTACTAATTCTGCTATTGTACTAGAAAACTGCTCTGCTTCTGTCTACCGTAAATTATTGTACCCGCACAGCAATGTCCAATGCCCCCCCCCCCCCCTCTCCATCCCCCCGGGATGAGAAGGGAGCAAAATGAAATAAGAAAATAAAAAGAATAATCACCCCTGGTCGTTGAGGAGGCTCCTGCAGATCAGGCTGGGGACCAGAGCCTCGATTGAACTTTCCAGCGGCTCCAGAGATTTTGGTTGCCGACAAAGGGAGATACAGTACCGGTATAAACGCTGAACCGAATTTAAACTCGGCGTAGAGCGAGGGGGTGAGGGGGGAGTGACCTGGAACACCGTAATGTCTACGCTACAGCGACATACTGGAGTACAGCGCTTCCGCCAGGTATCTAAAAGAACCCTAGGAAGCCTAGAGGAAGGAGGCCCTGTCATTATTGCTTACAATATAATCCTTTGGGAGAGCGTCCGGACTACTTCTTCTAATTCCCCCCCCCTCCTCCTCTCCGCCTCTCTCTCTTGTCATCGTCCATCACCAACTTAGTCGCTCTTTTCACGCACCAGCCCACCGGTTGGATTTTGTTTTTTGTTTTTTGTTTTTTCCTTCACTCTTTTGGCCCATTACCCTTTTTTATTTTTTTCAACCACTATTAGTATATCCTTTTAATTATCCTCTAAGAGCTGGTCCTCTTCCCCCGCATCTGTGCTTCCATTCTTGCTTCTCTTCACCTTGGTCAACAGGTTGACGACGTTCTTTAAAACTCTTTAATATCTTGCCTTCCTCCCCTCTGGGGTCGCACATTTACATTCTCTCCGGCCGGTCCGATCATTTGGTTTTAGGTTAACTTCAGTACACATCTGCTGCTGCTACCATTTGCTACGATAAAGAAGACGGCTACCGCTAGTACTGATACTACTGACTACTACCTATTAAACTACAACTATTACTGTTCCTGCAACTACTACGGTACTACAACTACTACTACCACCACTGCTGCCGCCGCTACTACATACCCGCACACAACACATAAATATTCGTACATACATATACATACATTTTCAGCATTTTTTTATTTTTTCCCCTTTCCTTTAGTTTTACTGTACGAGTAAGTATTTTGATCATTCCCCAACAAGCCCTCCTTGCTTCCTCGGTCCATGGTTCTGCTTTGGGGTGCTGTAACCCGGCGGGGTGAGCAGATGGAGACTTGGAGTACAGGTTGAGATTGAAATTACGATCGTGCTAACGGATGTCCGCATTTTCAGTTATTGTCTTTGTACCACTTCTAAAGGTTGAGCATTGATGCAGGCGATAGCCATGGATACAATTCTTGCACAGTGAGTTGGAACTAGAAATATTGCCCCAAGAGAGATAGAGAAAAGGCCTCTTGTGGTTGTTTTTTTTATTTCACTTTGCTACTGCCCAGGTGACTGACGATAAACTTTTTCTCTCTTGCCCTGAATAGCCAACGAAGTACTCCCAAAAACCCTTTCACCATTCCTCAGCCTCCACAATTCAGGCTCTCAAACATGGCGGATGCTTTCCCTCGGACATTCCCTCCAGCTATGGGCTCCCCCCTTCCAGAATCCTTTGCCCTGTGGCCGCCAACCCCTCACACGAATGGGATCAGACCTGCGACGGTTCATGAGACCAGCTTTTCATATCCTCTTCCTGGAGACTGCCCGGCTGCTACCACGGCTTGGGATCCAAATTGCCTGTCCATGGGGTTGCCCTCTGAGAACCATGATATGGAAACCAATGGGACGGACATGTCCCAACAATACGAGGATAGCTCATTAGATAGTACGTTGCACCCGTGGAGGATTGATATGACTTTCAAGGCGACTGGTTACTGATATTAAAGCTTATAGATAATGATTGGAACCGCCCTCGTGGAGGCGACTATAGCTCGGTGTTGCGTAACCTGGACAATGATGTGGACCGTCTAGGGTCCAGCTATGGGAGCAGCAGTAATGACACAAGTCTACTCGATCCCCACTATCCATACGCCACACAGCCTAGGGACGGTGACGGTTTGAGCTTGAACACCAACTTCCCTCGCCGTCTATCAGATGCCGCTTCACTGTCGAGTGCGGATGCGCTGGTGTCAGCATCGGACATGCCCTACGACGACTATTCTTCATACGATGGATCAGCCATGACCGACTACACCCACAGAACGCCATTATCAATGTCCTCTGCCACACCGCTTTCACCCGTAATGTCGCCACGCCAGACCAGCCGGATGTCGGCTCATAGCGGTAGCAGGGGCCGGGCTTCACCTTCTCCATCTCGCGCCCTAAATGTTCGATCCGTGCCGTACCCTGCTGGGGGCAGGGATGCAGCGAACAAGAGGTGGTCCACCGGATCCTTCATACCGGGGTCGCAGGCTTCGGTTCAGTACCCCGGAAACGTAGATCCACACTTGCAGTCACAATTCCACTCCCACCACTCCTCGCCAACATGTTCCTCCGCACACCCCACCCCGCAGAACCTCCTCCTCTCGCACAACCATGGTTTCACCCGAGCAAACGGCTTGCTGCCCAGCTCATACATGGATACCTCACCATCACCGCACGACTGCCACCCACAGATGCCGGACCACATCCTCGTCAAGATGCTCCAGTCCAACGCAGCGGAGCACTACCGTAACCACTACGCTGACCCCACTGATCCCCCGGATCTCTATGCCTCTCTGAGCGAAGAGCAGATCCCGCCTCCCCCAGAGGACATGGACCCCGAAGACCCAGACCTCAAGCCCCACGAACAGGAACTGAGGTTCGAGGGGGACCTGTACACGCCCAGATGGGTCCGTGGTCACGGGAACAAGCGCGAGGGATGGTGCGGGATCTGCAAGCCTGGGCGCTGGTTGGTTCTCAAGAACTCCGCGTTCTGGTACGACAAATCATTCACCCACGGTATCAGTGCGGCTACCGGGCAGAGGTTCTTGGAGCCGGAATCAGTGAGGAGGATGGAGGGGAATCCCGACGTTTGGGAGGGCCTATGTCACTCGTGCAAAGACTGGGTTGCCTTGGTTAGCAATAAGAAGAAGGGGACCACTTGGTTTAGACATGCTTACAAGGTTTGTTTTACCGAGAATGTTAAAGAAAATCGATCAGAGGTGGGATGCTAACTTGTTCGCTCAACTAATATAGTGCCATACACATCCCAAGATCAAAGATGCACCAAAGCGGAGGAGGGAGAGTAGTCAAGGCAAGGCCGCTGCAGCAGCTGCAGCCGCCAAAGCAAAGGTGGATTCCATAAAGATGAATGGAATGCATCACGAGTCGATGGGATGAACTGTCCTTCCCTTCCCTGCCTTCTCCGCCGTCCCCCGGTTCAATGATCTCTTATCCCCCTTTGTCTTTGTCTTCTTTCTGCCCTTCCCTCGCCAATATCCTTTTTTCCCTTTCTTTCCTTTTTCCCCTTTTTTTCTTTTTTTACGGATTTTCTTGCTCTCGTAACGACCCCACTTCTACCATATTCTCTCCCCTCTAATGAGATGGATACGCAGCCTAGTCCTTTTCTCCTTTTCCTTCTCTCATTATAGCCACCGTAGTTTGGAGCGTTTGTTTTTGGAGATTTTTTGATTTTTTTTCCTTGAATTTGTCAACGGCGGGCGCGAGGGGGGGGAGCATTTTATGTTATGTGGAAAAAGAAGGAAGAGCCATCTTTCATCATCACTATTTCTTTTGTCTTCTGGCTTGCATACGGCTTTTACGCTCCAGTGCCCATTTCTTCATCCAGTGGTCTTTCATCGTCATACCCAAACTTCACTCTTCTGGGGTGGGTGTGACGGGCGATCTATTTTTCTCTTTCGAATAAAAAAAAAGATTTCTCCCGAATTTGTCTTATCCCTCTCTCTCTCGGTATGAGCATGTTTTGCTTGGCCGTTTGTGTTTCGTTTCACCTCTGTTTTGAAATACCTCGTGCTCGGTTTCCTTTCACTTTCATTGTTGCGGAGATATTGGTTCAGGGTCAAATTGGAAGGTCATGGTACGGTATTTTTCTTTCCGAAACGGCGGTCGGGTCGGGGTCATTGGCGGGGTTTCGGGGTTTATTGATTTTGTGTTTTATTTTTATTTTTTATTTCCTTCTGTCATGGTTCTCCCATTTGTTCTGTAGAGCGGGTTTTATGATGGTTAGTTTTTCTCTTTCTGAATTCTGAGCTCTGATTATTCTTTTTGTTTATTTCCCTTTGCCCGGTCGTTCTCCATCTGTATTTTTCTCCATCTCTTCCCGAAGTCGGTTGTCCTTTTCCCTACATCGTTTCCCTTTGTTCTTTTTTTGCTCGTGTTTTTTTTTTATTAATGATAGACAAAATTTAACAAAACAAAAAGTCAAAACAGAAAGGATGGTCATGGACCGCTACGCTTCCAAAGATTTTTAACGAAGTTCTTTCCGGTTTGAGTGCTAATGAGTTGTCTGTGCGGTGCGGTGCCGGTGCGGTACGGTATAGTGTTGTACTCGAGTATTCCGTTGTCGGGTCATGATGTGAAGGACTGGGCAGTGCCAGCCTGGAAGAAATTGTTGCTAGAACATTCGATCAGGCGGGCTGGTATTTTTTTTGCAAGGGCAGAGCCTTAGGTGGAAGGTTGGGCTCGAACTGGCCGCTGAGATTCTTTTCCACTCAAGCCCCCTCCTCCGCTCACTCTCTTGTTCTCTTGTCACCACCTTCTCTCTACCCCTTCCCCTTCCCCGCCTCGCGAGACCTGTATTTCTCGTTTTCCAAGTTGATCCACTGGCCGAGCCCTTGTATAATTTCACCATTGTCCTTGGTTTTCTCAAACCTTTCGGTTTGGGTGGTGTTTATTTCATTCCACCATCCTCACCTTGTACCCGAGGCGGCTCGAGGCCTTCTCAACGGTTCTTTCTTCTTCCGCTTTCCTTTCCATTACTCCCTCGAATCCACTTTCCCCTACGCACCTTAGTCAACAAAGTGCACACACGCTAAAACAGCGCACATGTCTTCTATGGACATCGATTCCGGACCCCCAGTACCCCCGGGAGGACTGAGAACATCTCCATCTCCATCTCCAGCCCCAGAGACCCTAGCCAAGATCAACGGCATAAATGGTACACACTCGCTTCCCCCAGATCCACCGAGGGAAGAGCCCAACGGGGAAGAATACAAGCAGGCCGGCAACAAGTTCTTCAAACAAAAGGAGTACGGAAGGGCTGTCGAGCAATATTCTAAAGCCATAGAGAAGGAGCCCGAGAATGCAACCTTCTTATCTAATCGTGCGGCTGCCTACATGTCAGCGGGAAAGTTTAACCTCGCTCTGGATGATTGCGTACAGGCCGATCGTTACGCCCCGGATAACGCGAAAACATTGTTGAGAATGGCGAGAATCCAGGTGGCCTTGGGGAGGCCGGAGGACGCTCTGGAGACTTATGGCAGGATGAACCCCCCAGCTAGCAGCAAGGACAAGGTTCCCGCAATTCAGATGAGGCAGCATATCAAGACTGCCGAGTCTTCGGTGGCTAACGGTACTGCGAGCTCCATGACGCTGTTCGCTATTCACCAGGCGGAGGATCTACTGGGTGCTGGCGTCGAGCCCCCGAAGAAGTGGAAACTCCTTCGGGGGGAAGCAAATCTCAGGATGAACACTCCGAATTCATTGGGGGAAGCTCAGAACGTTGCAATGTCTCTTCTTAGGCAGAATGCACAGGATCCCGATGCCTTAGTTCTCAGGGGCCGAATTTTGTATGCTCAGGGTGAAAATCAGAAGGCTGCTCTTCATTTTCACGAAGCTCTCAGATGCGATCCCGATATGAAGCAGGCTAGAATATACTTGAAGCGGGCACGGGAGCTTGAGAGGAAGAAGGAAGCCGGAAACGAGGCGTTCAAGAAGGGTGATTACAAGGTTGCCAGGGAGCTCTACTCCGAAGCTTTGGCTGTTGACCCTTCGAATAAAGGGACCAACGCCAAGCTGTACCAGAATCGTGCTGTTGCTAACACTAAGGTTTGTCCTCTTATTACCCCGACAAATGGATACCGGACTAAAAGTAACTTGCCAGCTTCAAAATTGGGAAGAAGCTCTCTCGGACTCTGATGAGGCTGTTAAGCTTGATTCGACTTACACCAAGGCCCGCAAGACCCGGGCAAAGGCTCTAGGACAGATGGGCAACTGGGAAGAGGCGGTTCGCGAGCTCAAGTCAGTAGCCGATGCCAACCCAGGAGATGGTAGCATCCGAAAAGAGATCAAGGAAGCCGAGCTGGAACTGAAGAAGAGCAAGAGGAAGGATTATTACAAGATTCTTGGTGTGGATAAGTCAGCTACCGACACAGAAATCAAGAAGGCATACCGGAAGATGGCCATGTTACACCATCCCGATAAGAACCCCGATAACGAATCTGCGGCCGAAAAGTTCAAAGGTATGTCGCCGTAGTCACGTGATCGGCGCAACTGTCATGCATTAGACCTAGCACAAAGCTCACACTGACCCGAACGATTGTCCTATAGATGTCGGTGAGGCGTATGAGACTTTGTCGGATGCACAGAAACGTGAGATGTATGATTCTGGCGTTGACCTGCAAGATGATGATGTTTTCAACGGCGGTGGAATGAACCCGGGGATGGGTGGTGCAGTGAATATTGATCCTAGTAAGTTACCCAACACCTGGTTGATTACTTGTTTTGTCTGCCCCAGCTGATATTTTTTGCCTTTAGACCTATTTTTCAACATGATGGGTAACATGGGAGGCGGCGGCGGCTTCCCGGGCGGCTTTCCAGGTGGCTTTCCAGGCGGCTTCCCAAGCAGCGCAGGAGGAGGAGGAGGAGGAGGAGGAGGAGGAGGAAGAAGAGGGCCACGAGGCCCCCAAGGTTTCCCGAATTCGTTCACATTTTAAAGCAAAAGGATGGAGTCTAGACTATTGCGGTGCAGGGCAATTTGCATGGAACAATTGGTGTTCTCACTGGAGTTCAAAGAACGTTCCGTGAATACTGAACGGGACTTGTTTTTATTTATTCATAACTCTCTTCCTCTCCCTTTACGGTTTCTTAATGTCTTTCAAATATGATCCCGCTATCGAGTCTTAGGTGGCCCTAGTTTTTCTCCCTATATTACCCTTTTTTTCTTTCTTTTTGCTGTCCGTTCATCATCCTCATCCTTCTTTCTTGCTCTGCCTTGTTGTCTCTCTTCTCTAGGTCCCTTATCTACTGACCTTCTCTTTAGCCATTGTGTGTTCAGCATTTTTTTCCCTCTTCGTTTCTTTTTCTCGTGTCTCCATAAGGTGTTCTTTTTTGATATAAACATTGGGGGGTTGCTAAGATTGGTTGGTCTGGTGCCGGTATGACAGCTACGTTAAATGGGGTTAAAACGTAAAAAAACCAGGGAAAAGCGGTCAGTATGTGAACTTTGTTGTCGACAGGCTATGGTATTCAGAAGGCTGGCCCTTCCCTTCATACTAAAATAATATTACTTGTATGATATTATACAAGATTTAATAGCGATGGGTAAATGTGAGTTGAGTTCCGACTGACCAACCGAAGAGCAACCTAGTTTCTCACGTAACCTGTGATCCCGTCAATTCAAATTTCCCCTTTGTTAAGATTTGTTTCATCTTTTTTCTCTCCCTTTCTCTCTCTCTCTCTCTCTCTCTCTCTCCTCTCTCTCTCC